CCCGCCCCACGGGACTACAAAATGACCTTCATTCGCCTACCTCGGCCCTAGCTCTTACAATATTAATGCAAAAGACCCACACACCCAACTGTTTGCCAAAGTCATATGACAGTGCTAAAAATAGCCACCAGTACTTCTGCGTTCTTCCTTAACCTACGCCTCAGTGAACCAGGCACAGTATTCAATGAACGAAGTTCTCATCGATCGATATTGCTATATCGATAGGCTGGCTGATTGGCGCGTCAGTTGTTGTTCTAGAGTAGATATTGTAGACTGCTGTATCGTGGGGAGTTTTGGTGAGTTCTGATTTCTGTAATCCTGTCTCGTGGTGCTTGCTTAGAACAACTCCAACTCACACGTGAGAAAGATAATATGGAAGATTTGTTGTGCGTTATTTTTCAGTTTTGTTAGGATTTGTTTCGTCTCAGTTCTCGACCTACTTTTTTTTTTCGTTCCGCCTGACGTTTGTGTTGATCCGTCTTACTGTTGTCTTTCACTCTCTAGCCGTTATCGTGTCTATGTGCTTTCCGTTACTGAACGAAATATTCCTCGTTTTAGACACCAAAAGAAGACTGCTTATTTCTTTTGATCCAAAAGGAGGCTGCTTATACTTCTAGTCTTTTAATCGTGGGGTTCGGGGGCCCGAGACCCAGCTCAGTCCGACAGTGTGTCCTAGGGAAAGGCTGACTGTTACACGATTCTTCCCGTTTGGTTGGCTCGGTCTTATCGGAGATAGACGTATAGACGTAACATTTATCGGAGGTCCCGCGTCTTAGGTACCTTCACAGAGTTAATATAGTGTAAAACGCATAGAGCCAGCTGTTGAGCGGGGATATGCGCTATACAAATGTTATTTATTATTTTTATTATTTCACGGAGTTACAAAGGGCGTAAAACCTAAGCAATGCGGCACATTTTGTGTTCAAAGTCATTGAGGAGAGCGGGGAGCTGAGTCCAGTTGGGTAGAAGAAGAAAGAAGTGGGAGATACAGAGAGAATAGATGAGATACAGAGAGAACAGATGAGATACAGAGAGAACAGATGAGATACAGAGAGAACAGATGCGATACAGAGAGAACAGATGAGATACAGAGAGAACAGATGCGATACAGAGAGAACAGATGAGATACAGAGAGAATAGATGAGATACAGAGAGAACAGATGAGATACAGAGAGAACAGATGAGACACAGAGAGAACAGATGAGATACAGAGAGAACAGATGAGACACAGAGAGAACAGATGAGACACACAGAGAACAGATGAGATACAGAAAGAACAGATGAGATACAGAGAGAACAGATGAGACACAGAGAGAACAG